GCTGTCTGCAGCTACAGGCTGTTTACAGTAGCTCCCCACAGGGCGGGACACGTCGACCTTGAGCCACGCTGACAGTGAACTGCAGCCAGACTGTCGATGAATGAATCTGTCTTTCCAGCTTTCAGTCCCTCCGAGCGGCTTTCGCCCTTCAAAGGGCGCTCAGCTGTTTTAAACCCCAGCCTGTCCCGTCCCACGACATGTTTCCAAAAAGGAAACCCATCCCCATCCAGTGGAAAACATTTCAACTCCGTCTATCTGCCTCTATTTTAAGCTACCGAGGTCCAGAGATTCAACGTGAAAGCAGCGTCAGCGCAGAAAAGCAGCGTAGTTGATCCAGCACGAGACAAATCCACGGGGAAGTTTTCGAATCGGCGTCAACTTACGCTGAAAGTCCTGCGGGCCTCTCAGAGGGAGGAAGGTTTGAAAGAGCCGCCGGAAAGCTTCATGGTCGCGACAGAAAGAAAGAAGCTCAAAAGATTTCCAACCAGAAAAATCTCCACCGGGAACTGAGCCGGAGCTTCGTTGCAACACACCGGAGAGGAGGAGAGGTGGGTGTCACCTTAGTGACGTCACCGGTCATACCTGTTAAAGAGCAACAGCTGGAGCGAGTCAGTAAAGATCGTTACTGCTCTCGTGTGGCTCTGCGCTGACTCATAGGCCCACTACCACGCCTGCTTTCACTAATGTAATGAGACACGCAATCGGCCTGTCTGTTATGGAAGCATTTTTAATTTTAGCATTACTGTACTTTTCATATGAAAACTTTTTTCTTTATTTATTTTTTTTAACATTACTGTACTTTTCATATGAAAACATTTTTTTAATTTTTTTAATTTTAGCATTACTGTACTTTTCATATGAAAACATTTTTTTCTAATTTTTTTTAATTTTAGCATTACTGTACTTTTCATATGAAAACATTTTTTAAATTTTTTTTTATTTTAGCATTATGTACTTTTCATATGAAAACATTTTTTTTATTTTTTTTTAATTTTAGCATTACTGTAATTTTCATATGAAAACATTTTTTTTCTAATTTTTTTTAATTTTAGCATTACTGTACTTTTCATATGAAAACATTTTTTTAATTTTTTTTTATTTTAGCATTACTGTACTTTTCATATGAAAACATTTTTTTTATTTTTTTTTATTTTAGCATTACTGTACTTTTCATATGAAAACATTTTTTTCTAATTTTTTTTAATTTCAGCATTACTGTACTTTTCATATGAAAACATTTTTTTTAATTTTTTTTATTTTAGCATTATGTACTTTTCATATGAAAAGTACATATTATTATATTATATATTTAAGTAGTAGTAGTAGTGTTACACAATAAGTGGATCTAAAATCATTAATTATTACAGATCCACTTCTTGACTCTGACCTTTTTAGTAATTCAGCTGCAGGGTCAAATATTAAGTCATTTTTATGCTAGTCCGTCACCGAATCTAATCTGGATGTAAGAAATAATTATGAGGGGAAAAACTGTGTATGGAAGATTAAATATATTGAATTTTTTTCCTACAAAAATGAAATGAAAAAATATATTAGCTAATCACAATTTAAAGTGAGATTCTGAATCAGTAACTCTTGTTGGAGAAAATGAATTGGATTAAGTGACTGATCACACTCCACCATGACGCTTTAATCTAATCATGAGTGAAGTGTCAGCAGTGGGACAAACTGTATGTAAAATCTAAGCCAGGTCAAAGAGCCGGTTTAGATTTTCACTGCTGTTTAACTAGATTCAAATTCATCACAACGCTGCGCTTTAAATATGCTGAAAATATGCTGACTTACAATAACGACTTCAACTAGACGCTGGAGAAAAGTTTGGCAGAAGCATTATTTGCTGGTTTACATTCAAAAGTAATTAAGTCTCTATTCTTATGAGCAAAGCTAAATTTGACAATCATAAGTAGCATCATAAATGTGGAGTTAAAGTCACAGAAAAGCATGAAAATATGAGAATTTTCTGAGAATGCACTTTAGAAAAAAGTTCATATAATAAAGTCATTCAGGTCGTTAGTTGAACTGTACAGTCTGGG